ATATGGCTGGGCTTTGCATTTTAGGTATGGCTGGCTGCTAGACATCTCTCTCACCTTTGCTGATGTCATTTTTGTTGTACTGGGTTTTTTAACTAACCCAGCTGATGCAGTCCCCAAAGAGAGTGCAGTCGTGCTGTGCCAGCTGGCATGCCCTCTGGCTGTGAGGCCTTGTTAAAGAGATCGGAGCTGACAGATTCTTGAGCAGCAATTTGATACAGGCTTTTTTTTTTCTTACTTTCTAATTTGTTTTTTTTCCCTTTTTTGTGTTCATTCATGTAACAAATGACAGCTTGTTTGGAAGCCTCACTAGAACCCTGAATAGAGTCATTGTTATACAAACACTGCTGTGATTCAGAAGTCCCCAGTGCAGGGGGATTCCTCCCACTCCTGCCCCTCAGCTGGGCACCGCAGGTGCAGCTTTAGCTTAATCCCAGCTCATCCCTTCCCTAAGAAAAGTCCAGCTGTTTGGAGATTTTTTCTGGAGATTGGTAACTAGGACACTGTGGTGCAGTATGTTGCTCAAGGGGCATAGAATTCAACCTTGGGTAAGGGTGGAGGGCTGTGTGGCTTTGACAAAGGGTGAGAACTGTTTTCCAGGCTGAATTTTTGAGGGTAGAGGCTTACAGCAGTGATCTAATGCTTAGTCAGGCTTCCAGGGGTGTCAAGGTCATCTGACCCCATGAGACCCACAGACCAGCTCTGCATGCCTGATTTGACAGGTGTCTCAGGCTAACCACTCCAAGACCATGCTAACATGGTGCCCACTCCAGTGTACTTCAGCTCTATATAGACTCCAGCACATCTCCAGGTGTGGCCAGAATAGGTGCCACTTGTAGTGCAGTGCGGTGCAGTCCCAAATCGCTGCTCCGGGACCATGCTGCACGCAGCGCCTGCTTTGGGACTGTGCTGCGTGCAGCACCTGCTTCTGCATATTTGGTCCATGGCAGATCCAGCATGCATCCCAGAGTAGGTGCCATGTTCAGCGTATGTCCCAGAGCAACTGATCCAGGACTGCAGCGGTTGCTTTGGGACTGCACTGCATGTGATGCCTGCTTTGGTCACTCCAACATATGCATAGGATCAGTCATAGATTGGATGTATGCTGTAGCAGGGGGCACTGCATGCGGTGCTTGGGACCATCTGGTGCACCTTGCCCTTTGGGTCCACTCAAGACCCACAGGCAGCACCTGGGGCCATATGATAGGGCTCCACAGGCTGGATCCAGACTGCAGGCCATAGCTTTAACACCCCTGCTCTGCAGTTAACACATTGCAGATTCTGCCCAGTAAGTATGTATTTGGTAACTTTTGTGCGCAGGCCAAATGTTCCTGCTCTTGAAAACACCTCCTTACATTCCTTTTAAACCTGTCCTTGCCAGAAGAACCTCTTAGGTAGTGCTCATGTTCCCTGTAGCCCAGCCAGGGGTGAGTTGAAGAGTCCTCACCCTGCCATTCTCACTGGAAGAATCAAGTATTCAAGAACTTGAGTGGGCTTTTGCTGTGGATTTGTTATGTGGAGACAGAAGGAAGCAGATATCTCATAGCAGTTTAATGCCTATTGACATCAGGATCATGCATGCCTGGTAGACCCAGGAGCAGTGCAGGGAACTCCCTTCATGTGAAGGTCATAGCATACTGCTGTTACTGTGCAACTGATATTCACTGCTCTTGAACACTGCCTCTTTCAAACCATGGCCAATGATTTTTGGTGTTGTATTTTTCAGTTCCCAACTTTGAGACAGTTAGAGCTTGATTTTCAAAAGTTCTGAGCCCCTCCAGGCTCTGTGTGGTCCAGCTGGAACGGCTGTGCTCTGCGTTTTTTGCTCTTGGTCCAGCAATGCCTTAAGTCAGGCACTCAACATCAGCAGCTGCTTTTCAGCATGTTGACATAATGCCCTTGGCGAGTATTTCTAAGCCCACTCCCCTTGAACCATCTTCAGTAAAAGGACAAAAAAAATCTAGACTCCACCCTTTATAAAATGATCAGTGTTACAGGCAATACAACATCTTCACTGGCTGGCTAAACTTCAGAATCCAGATATTCTATCAGTAAAAAGCTCTAATTCCTGCTTTACAACTGCCAGCTGAAATCCCAACCTTGAGTCTTTTTGTCTTGGCTCTTCCGTGACCTTGCCATTTGGCCTTACCCCATCCTTTAGTTTCTCCATCTGTTTTTAATACCACAAACTTATATTGCAATAGCTACTGAGGTACTCATCAGTGTTGCAGCATCATTGTGTTAGGCACTGCACAAACAAATGCAATGAATGTAGTTACTCCCTGCCCTGCTGAGCTGGGAGTCTAGGATCACACTGATGTTCTGGGCTTTCTGACTTCAGTCACCTGCCCGCTCCCCACCTCCACCCTTGGGGTACAAGGTAGCATTGCTGTTTATTTATAGAAGCCTCTCTGCTTTATTCTCCGCTTTAGGCTGTGCCAAGAATTTGAAAAGTCACTTGGTGGGGAACCTGTAGAGTTTGACTAGCCTTATTTGTGAATTGATCTTTTTCCTGACTCAAAAGCATTTTTTCCTGTTTAGTAATGAATGCATGTTACAAAACCAGCAGCTGCATTTTGGAAGCAGTTTCTCTTCTAGAGTTTGGCTTTTTTTAGAGCCCCTAATTCTCATATGTAGATCCTATGTCTGCTTCACTCTCAGAGAAAAATTGGGCTCATCAGAGTATTTGTACATCAGAATAATAAAAATCAAGACAAAAAGGCTGAGAAGCAGGGGCAGGGAGAAAAGGTGCTGAATCGTCCTCGCTGGTAGTACTTCAGTTTCTCTTGCTGTTGCTGGTGGGCAGCTCTGACAAGCAATGCCGCTGGTTGGGCATCAGGAAGATATGGGTGTGGCATGGCACTGTTTGTGCTCCAGGTTTGTTTGTTTGTATTTAAAAAACATTTTAAACAAGCTCGTTATGAACATGTGACTGACTTGGCATGGGGCATGGTGACGGCCCTTGTACCAGCCCAGCAGCTGCCTTAGGAGTATGCACCCATGTGCTCTCCAGTAAGCATATCTGTCACATGTGCCGAGTTCCTTTGAAACCACAGCCAGTTTTGCATTAGGTCAGGGATAAGTAACATATGATCTGCTGGCTGGATCTGGCTTGCAGAGCACAAGGGCCTTGCCTATGCCCATGCCAGGGCTAAGCAGTGAGGAACTGCAGCAGGGCTGGCCAACCTCCAGCTGTGCTCTTGCTGCCACTGCTGCTTCTTCCCATTGCCAAGCCTTTCCCTGGCTGCAGTGTGGGCTCAGCTTCCAGCTGATGAGGAGCTGCATCAGAGCCAGGCAGCTGGGTCTGCTGCTGCTGCTGCTTCTTCCCCTCGCCCTCTCGGCCTCCCAGCTGCAACACAGATGCAACAACAGCGAGGCTGCAGCTCCCCACTAGCTGGAAGCTATGCCTACACCCCAGCTGACAAGCTGGGGACTGAGAGAAGCAGTGGCAGTGTGGGCACAGCTCCCAGCTGCCTGGCCCCAACACGGGCACATGGCTTGAAAAGGCTGTTAGCCACCACATTAGGTCATTGCATTTCTGACCAGGAGAAGCAAATCAAAACAGTGATTTTTGAAACAGGGGCCAGTCTCATACATCAGGATAATAATAGCAAGCAGAGCAAAAAGACTGAGAAGAGGGAGGCAGGGACAAAAGGAGCCAATCACTCAGTCCAGTAGCACCTTGCCTAGTGTTTGCCTTTTGGAGGGACTGATGTTTGTCAGTGGTTGAAACAACGCTGCTAATATAAAAGCAGGAGAAAGGTTGTTGAGTTGGTAACAAAACATTGAGCTTTCATCTCTAAGGCACCAAACAAAACCACTGCAGATTGCTAGTGGCTGAGCAACACCCTGGTGCTCCTCAGTGGCTTATCTGAAATTAAGAGGAAGGTGTCATAGGTATTTTCACCATTATAAACACTTATTCAGTTGGCACTGCTTAGCAAGCTCCGAAGAGATGGGCTGAGCTCCCATCACATCCCTACAGGTATCTCCCACTCACAGGTCAGTAGTTAAGGCCTATTGGTACCATGGGCAAGTTTGCAGAGCTGTTGCCTCTAGGGGCTTTTAACTCATTGGTTAGGCATCTGTCACCTGCACAGCTAGCCTGGGAAAGGCATCACTGCTCTGCAGGTGCCTTCGTATGAAACTGCTTTCCCGGCCTCTGCCTTCTCTGGTTTAGGGCACATGTGGCATGTAGGCCGAGTCCTTCAAGTGGTGATCTTCCTCAGGAATCTAGAAGGCTTTGTTCTGAGAGCTCAGGAGATGCAGAGGCTCCCAAAGCCATCAGGGAAGCCACAAAAGGCATGGTGTACTAATTGTGGCTATCAGGATGGCATCATTGCAAGAGTCAGGAAGTTGGGAGACCCAGTTGGAACCGAGAAGGAATCCCGATAGGAATCAGAACAGCAGTATCCCAAAAACATGGGAGGAGTGGGCAATGATTGCATGCCCTTCCCATGTTGGGAAGCACTTCCTATGTTGGTTGTTATGAGAGTGGGTTGTAAAAGGGAGCGTGAGGCTAATGTGCTGGTGCTATTGGTTTTTGAGAGAGTGAACTGGGTGGAAGGGGATCCCTGCCTTGTGTTCATTTCCCTCAATGGCATAAGAGGTGGGAGGCAAGCGAGAATCCTACCTGGGGAGGCAGGACCTGGTTCTGACTGCTCACTGGCAAGTGCACAGCCATTCCCTGCCTCCGTGCTATCCACACCTGCCATTTTGAGTGCCTGGTCCCTGCTGAGACACTGAGAGCTATGTTCAGAAGTGACTTTTTCTTTTTCAATTGCAGGGTGCAGACAGGAGGCGTCATGTGAATGACAAGCAGCTGGCTGAGAGCAAGGCTGCCCAGCGGGATTCGTGGCAAGGCTGAGCTCCACGCCCTGGTGCACAGGATGGCAAGCTGATCTGCTCCCGCACACAGGCATTCCATAGCACTGCCCTCCTCCTGAGGCAGTGCGCAGAGGAGCAATGGGAATTGAGGACCATGGTTACTTGACATAAATGGCAGATCCCTGGGTGTCTAATCTCGTAGCTGCTCGCTTTAGCTTTGCCTCTCTCTGCAGCCACTGTTTCTTTGCAAGCCACCTGTGGGTGCTGCTGCAAGAGTACTGGAGACCTCAAGGGCAACTTGGGAGCAAATCTTGAAGAGGGGGTGGGCTTCCCGCCTCACCATGATTCAGCTGTGGAAAGTGGTGCGGCACGTGCGACAGCTGGAGCTCCACAGACTGATTCTGCTGCTCATTGCCTTTAGCCTGGTCTCCATGTGCTTCCTGGCCTATTATGTCACCAACAGTCCCAAGATCAAGGAACCACCGCCCCTGCCCTTCAGTGACTGCAGCAACCAGCACAGGGTCCTGATCCCTCCCCAAGCCAGCTGGAGACTCACCAAATCCGTTGACACCTCGCGCACAGATCCTGTGGTGCTTGTCTTTGTGGAAAGCATTTACTCTCAGCTGGGGCAGGAAATTGTGGCCATCCTGGAATCCAGCCGATTTAAATACAGGACAGAGATTGCCCCTGGCAAGGGGGACATGCCCACCCTGACGGACAAGGACAGGGGCCGCTATGCTCTCATAATCTATGAGAATGTCCTTAAATATGTGAACCTAGATGCTTGGAACCGGGAGCTGCTGGACAAATACTGTGTGGAGTATGGAGTAGGGATTATTGGCTTCTTTAAAGCCAATGAGAACAGCCTGCTCAGTGCTCAGCTCAAGGGTTTCCCCCTCTTCCTACATTCCAACCTGGGACTGCGGGACTATCACATCAACCCCAGTGCCCCCCTGCTCTATGTCACCCGAGCTAATGAGGTAGAGCAGGGCCCCCTGCCTGGTGATGACTGGACGGTGTTCCAGTCAAACCACAGCACCTATGAGCCCGTGCTGTTGGCCAGCACAAAGTCATCAGAGTCCATTCCTCATCTGGCCACCCACAAAGCGCTGCATGCCACTGTGGTGCAGGACTTGGGGCTGCATGACGGGATTCAACGGGTACTCTTTGGCAATAACCTCAACTTTTGGCTGCATAAGCTCATCTTTGTAGATGCCATTGCCTACCTGACTGGCAAGCGCCTCTGTCTCACACTTGACCGCTATATCCTTGTCGACATCGATGATATATTTGTGGGCAAAGAGGGCACTCGCATGAAAGTGTCGGATGTAGAGGTAAAGCTTGCTAGAATAACCCAAGGGTTCCAAAACAGAGTCCCTTTGTCCAATCCAGGGCTGCTCTGGTGAACAGCCAGAAGCCTCAGGGTCGCCCCAAATCTGCATGAAACAGAGGAGCTAACTGCACACTTTTTCATCTTTAATATAGGGTGAAGCTGCTCAGCTCAAAATGGAGCATTGAATGTAGGGACATTACATGCCCTCACTCAACACCCAGTTTTTCCTTCCACTCACTCACTAGGGACTTTTGAGGTTTTAGTCTTAATAGTATAGCTTTGGGGAAAGAAACCCATCCTGGCCTGGGCAGAGCCAGCCATTTTTATCTGAACTCCTTTAAAGCTGCCTACCTGAGGCTGCTTATGTGTCCCTGTTTCACCTTCATTGCTCAGTTCTCTCTTGTAGCCTCCGTTGACTTAACTGTGTGTTCACAAACAGACAGCAGTGCAATACTGGGAAAGGAGACAGTTGTGTGAAATAGTAAAACAGAAAAAAAACCTATAGATGTTTTCCCAACTCATCACATCTCTCCTACCCTACTCTCCACTCTTAGGGCAAGAGCTGAGGAAGAATTGCCAGTATTTTAGGAAATGTCATTCTGTCCCTCTTTCCCCTTGGAGTATCTTTCACTCCTGGGATTTCAAACTCCCATACAGTCATACAGGACTGTAAACCAAATAGTCATACAGGAAGCATCCCTGCTTGCCCACATCTCACCTAGTGTCACCATTACAGGGTCAGTGTATATAAATCCCTACCAACCATTTTACATCTGTCACAACTTTTTCTGGATATCAATAACAGACTGCACATGGGGGGTTCAAGTGACTCGTGAACTCTTGTCAAATAATGCCTTGAGGTTTGTACCTAGGATTAGGCCCTGCCCCCATCCGGATGTCTTCCCAGTAACTTCTTACCTTCCTCTCCACGCTGAGAACTGGGTAGGACCACCCCCCTTAAAGTGCAAGATGATATTTGCATAGTTGTTTGAGGTGTACATTCATCTGTCCTATCCATATAGCTGTAGCTTCCTTTGGCCCCAGTGAAGAAGGGTGAGACTGTAGAGCCCATCTGCCAAGGGGATCTTACTGAAATCATCTGCTTTTTCCAAGTCAGGGAGGTGAACCTCCTTGTCTTCCTCTGGGATTTAGTGTCTCTGTTCCTGCTCGCTGTTCCACGGGGCCTCCTGACCTTTTGTCTCTTGATCTCCAGAGTATGCAGGAGTTGTCTGTCCTTGTCTGCAAGCCTTTGATACTGCCTCCTACTTCTCTTTTCCCACATAAAATCTTTTTGCTTCTTGCTATGGTTTTTGCCCCTATGGCTCTTGATTTAGGGTCTCAGCTGGAGTCTGAGCTCTGGCTGATAACTGTACCCCAGTGCCCTCCCTAGAGATATATTGTTCTTGTCCACATCTGAGGGGAGATGTAATAGTAGCCTTAAACTACCTGAAGGGTAGTTCCAAAAAGGATGGAACTAGGCTGTTCTGTGGTAGCAGATGACAGAACAAGGAGTAATGGTCTCAAGTTTCAGCACAGGAATTTCATATTACGTATTAGGAAAAACTTTCTCCCTTGGAGGATAATAAAGCACTGGAACAGGCTACCCAGATTGGTTCTGGACCCTCCATCCTTGAAGGTTTTTAAGAGACAGCTAGATAAAACCTTGGCTGGGATGATGTAGTTGGGGATGGTCCTGCTTTGAGCGGGGGTTTGGACTAAATGACCTCCTGAGGTCCCTTCCAACCCTAACTTTTATGATTCTATGATCTCTGGGCATTTGACCTCCTCAGACAGTCCTTGGACCTCCTTAGATATGGTTCTTTCTTAACTCTTTCTCTCCTGACACCTGCAGATAAACTGAGCTGCAGTGCTGAGTCCTCATCAGGACATGGATCAAACATTTGCTTGCCACTTGTCTTGTTTAGCTCTTTGGTGCCCAACCCCTTTTCTCTCCACATTGGTCTTGTTTAATTCGTTGGTGCCTGACCCCTTTTCTTTCCGCGTTGTTAGAGAGGTGTGCATAGCTCAGTTTCTTTACCTGTCCTTTTCACCACAGAAGAGCACAGACCATCTTCCCTCCTGCTTAACCTTTGCTGATGTTTGTCAAGTTTAGTACTGTCATCCTGTCATATGTGCCACCACCAGAATGTCAGGGTTCTCAGACTAGTGGCACTGCTGACCCATCACACTGTCTCACCAAATGCACCCTATGCTTTATCTCACCAGGGGCAGAATCCTGCAGTTCTCAGACCAGGACCTGAATCTATTCCTTAATACCAGCTGAGACCACATCAGCAAGTCCAATTGAGATTAGGCTTTGTAAAGATTCCTTTTGAGGAGCCTGTGCTAACAGCCAGCTAAAGCAATTAAAAAAGAACTTGTTCAAAACAAGGTATACTTTATTCCCTCCCCAACAGCATAGTGCACACTGGACCTAGGTATAAAGCAGAAAAGAGCTCTACATGCATATTCTCTTACCTTCACTGGACTTACTCTTCACGGCCAAAGTGGGTCCAGCTTGCTTTTCATCGCTGAGTTAGGAAGACCCACCACATGGTTTGCAGCCTGCCCCTCTGCCTCTGGGATGTGAATCTTCCTCGCTTGTCTGCTCTTACTGAAGCACCTTGGGCAGCCTCTCCCACTCGTTCTCAGAATCCTCCTTTTTTCCAGGGTTTTTTTAAGTTTTAGGCCGTATTTTCAATTGGGGGCATAGCTTTGGGAAAGGAAACCCATCCTAGCCTGGACAGTGCAAGCCTTTGTTATCTGAACTCCTTTGAAGCTTGCCTACCAATGGCTGCTTATCTTGTGTCAGTGTTTTACATTCTCTGCTTAGTTTTTTACTCTCATGTAGTCTTCTTTGACTTAATTCTGTTCATGGACACCATTACATATACAAAAGCAATTGATCAGAGACTTTTGTAATATTAATACCAAATGTTTAAGCCATTTTCACAGTTTGTCATAGTAACCCTAAGTTTGGAGACATTCAGATGTCCTGAAAGTATCACCTGAACCCTGCCCTGGTCCCAAGTAGGACAGTCTCTCTAGAACTGGGAAAAGTTGGAAGATGCTCTTATCTGTAGAGAGCAGCAATATGGTGAGAAAGAGGAGACAGTTGGTCTGACCAACCCAAACCAGATAATTCCATGAGATGTTTCATTGTGGGTTTTAATGGGGTGAAATGGAGAAATAATCTGTGATCAGTAAATGGAGAATCTGAGACAATGCTGGTAAAGCCCAGATTTATCCATTTAAAAGAGGTTCTCTGATTGTAGAGCCAGGAGAGGTTAATGATTTTTTATTATTTTAAAGGGGATAAAAACTACATGGATTTGTTGATGGAGTAGAGGATGGGATCTAACAGTGAAAAAACAGCTGGTATTTTCTTTGGGCTTTTACATGAAAGCTGTGTTTCAAGGACATTATCTCAACATACAGTTCCTTATCCTGCAGCTTAAATGACTGTGGGCAGGGGGGACAGTTTGGGGAGGGAATGTTGTTTCAAATCCCAAAGATTTCTTTACTGTCTTACTGAGGCCACTTTAATTCACAGATCCCTATTCAAGGGACTCCACAACCCCAGAGAGAATAGCTAATGGAAGAAGACTGTACATGTCCTTTGGTCATACATTAACCAGCTGTAGGTGGCCTGAAGGGGCTGTGGGGAGTGAGAGAGAGGTCAAGAGCTTAATGTTTTGTCATTGTTCCTCTTTAGAGGTTGGTAACCTGCAAAAATCATGTGGTTTGTCATCAAGCACTCCTTGTTAGCGAGGATAAGAGTAGATTTAGGGTGCTCAACCCCAGCCTGCAGTCCAGATCTGGCCTCTAGTGTCTTGTCATTCCACCTGCAGAGCTCCCCACGGGTCCATGGGAAGCCCCACAGGCCTTGGCCCTGCATGCTAAATCAAGCATAGAGAGCAGCAGGGGAGCTGATCCTGACACATGGAGCCCAGCAGAGGTGGTGCAAAGTCCTGGGGCCCTGATCTTGGTACATGGGACCAGGTGGGGGTGGTTGGGTCCAGATTGGGGCATGCAGGCCAGGGTGCAGGGTCCAGTCCCACCTGCAGATTGACCCTGAACCACTCATTTGGTTCACAGGGACACAAGGTTAGGCCTGCTGGACTAGATCCACAGATGACCTAAGTTTTAGTTCTTAGGGCAACACTGGTAAAGATGGACAGAAAAAAAAGAATTTCGGCAGATCACCAAGGATGGTTGTCATCAAGGTTGGGGCATCTGGGCACTGGACACACTATCCTAGAGGCTGGCCTATCCTAAATTCAGAGTATTTAGCAATTGTCACCCTGATTTCAGCTTTGGGAGGAAGCCAAAAATGACCACTCTGTGTCCTCACTAGCACTGTCTGACTCTCAGAGCCAGTCTGAGGCCCTCTGCATTTCTCCCTTCTGCTTTTGTGCGTGTATTTCTTCAACATACACTTTCCTGTCTGACTTGCTGCTGCTGCTGCTCCATCCCTCGGTATGGAGGACATCCCCCCCCCCCTCCCCATCTACTTTCAAGCTGCCATTTCTCTGTTGCTGCTTTTTTATCCTTTTTTAGTAGGGCCTTGGGGGAGGTTCAAGATTTGTGCTAACCAGTGAAAATCACTGTAAGCTGTGTGAAGTGAAACATCATGTGCCTAAAATGAGCTGAGCCCATAAAGGACAGCTCAGCTATGCAACTCTGATGTCATGAGCATCATACCATACACAAAAGAGTTGGCAGCTCAAATAGCAAACTAAACAAGATAGTCAGGCTATAACACCCCACCCCCCACTAGAATTCCTAACCCCCCAATTAAAGGGGATATCATCTGTGCACCAGCCTTGTCTGAGTTCATCATGATTGTAAATTCTTCTGCTGAGCCAGCAGTGGAAATATGTGAGCTTTTTTAGTTCTGTTACACCAGAACGGTAACTTTTCTTTTACTTACTTTCAGTATGTGCTTTACAGTAAATATTTAGGGTCATCAGAGTTTTTTTAAACTCCAGTTAGGAGAGG